AGTTCATGCGCGGCGGAGAGAGGATTGACTTGAGGAGAGAAATGGAGGACAAAGAATCCGTTGAGTATAGTTGTCTTCTCTGGTTCGTAAATGGGAATTTTAACAGGTATTGCGCTCGCGGGCAGCGTTCTTTTAGGAGCGCATGTTAAGCGGAGTGCGCGTCCCGTGAACTTTAGCAACGTGTAAGATCTAGAGGAAAAGTGAAATACAAGCGGGGGCGGCAAAGTTGAAAAACTTGGAAATGATTTACTATGGTGCGCACATTGATGGCGTATTACGCACAACTAGCGTGTTCTTGAAGTGGAGTTTGGTTGACAACAGAATAATTTTTCCTTCTGGTTAAATCTCCGATTTGCTCCCTGAACTATTACACATATCCCTAATTTGGTCCTTAAATTATTGTACAGATGTTAATTTGATCTGACTGTTTACCAATTTATCCTAAGTTGGTTCTTTCGTACAAAAATTAACTGACGTGTCTTGATATTAATGTCATACATGATCGTTAAATTATTGTTTTTCATCATTAAGCTACTATTTTTTTATCGTTAAATAATGGATACATCGATTATTTTTTGTACGAAAAAATCAACTTAAGATAAATTGCTAAACAGTAAGCACCAAATTAAATGTCTATATAATAATTTAAAAACCAAATTAGGGAATCGTATAATAGTTTAGGGATCAATTTTGAAGTTTAACCTTCTTTATTTTGTGTTCATACGCTGCCTCCCCTCCCAAATTGATAACCGTTTCAGACAATTTCAAAGTGTATTAATCTCTACTTTTCCTATTTTACTATAAAAAAAGGGTATTTTTTAGGATTAATTGTATATTAAAAATATAATTTACTTTATAAATTTATTTAAATACTTTTAATAAAAGTATTTCTTATATTATTTTATTAAAAATAGTTATATAAATTTATAAAACAAACTGCATTTTTAACCTACAAGCCGCCTTAAAAAACTTAAATTCCTTCTACTATATTCTTCCTTTTTTATTTCATTTTACCATTCTATTAATCAGAGAGAGAAAATGATAAAATTGTAAATAGTAAAATTCTACAAATATAAAGCCTTTATCATATTACATATTACACAATATTATACAATATTAAATAAAAAAAATACATAAAATGTCCTGTGTGATATTAAAAAAAAAAAATCACACACGGATTCCGTCATGTCTCATGTTGTACATAAACATTGTAGAGCTAGTATTTGATTTTTTTTATTAAGAAATGCCTTGCCCCAATGTTAAGAAAGTTTTAAGGACTTCCAACAAGAACTTACATTTTACCAACCTTCCACATACCTTCAATACCAAGGAAGAAATAAAAAATAACTGAATCAATTAGTGACTTGAACTACTATCTGAGATTGCTGGCCAAAGAAACAAAAGAAATGATGTAGAGATTTTACAAATATCAGAAAAATGAAGTGCGGTCCACCGTGCACTGGTTGCACTACAGCATTCTCTACATATAATCATATACAAAGTTGCAAGTAAATCTGCAAGAGAAATTGTCAAGTAAGAACTTCTGCTGTTGTGCCTCTTAAAACAGCCTCGCTGCCCATTCATAGTGCCAACCCTACCACCAATGATAATTATTCATTCTCCCATCGCTTAAATTATTGTTAAACCTTGGTGCTGAAAATCTATGAGTCTGCATTTTAGATGATTGAGAACCAGAGAAATGACCACCAGCTGTTAAAGCAGAAATTTGATGGCCCTTACTTGATGGAGTTGAGGGAGAATTCCAAGGTTTTTTTCTAGACTTCCTTTCAGAGTAATCTCCAGGATGCTCTGTAATCCAGCCACCTCTCTGTTTTTCTTTCTGTGGTGTTCTGAACTCTCTATCTCCATCATATACTTTTTTCTTTTTTAAAAAACCCTTGTCACTGACATTGGGTGCAGACATGAAACCCAAGTAGCTTATAGTTTCTTTACCACGCCTCCTCTTACCAGGCTTCAAAATGGCAAAAAAAGTAGACATCATTGGTGATGCATCAATGAAAAGCCTAGTTTTGGTGAGAATCAGAATGAAATATAAATCAACCAAAATAAATAAATAAATAAAAACTATTGCCTGACAACACTTCCAAATGAAATCTACCTTGGAAGAATTTGGGCATTCACGTGCAAAATGCCCTTCACCACCACATTTAAAGCATGAGCTAGGTGACCCAAC